GCGTCACACAGCTCACAGCAACCTCCAACTCCTGGGCTTAGGTGATTCTCTCGCCTCAGCCTCCTGAGTAGCTGGGACTACAGGCGCCTGCCACAACGCCCGGCTATCATTATATTCATTTTAATATAAGCAGATGGAAGAGCTCAAGGAAGTAGCTTCTAAAGATTCTTGAGTTCATGGATGAGCTTCAGTAAGGGGACATATTAACTATCTTATATCAGATGCAAAATTTCATGTACTTTTCTGAGACTCCATAGATTTCAGTCAGAAGACCAAAGGAGAAAATGACCTAAAAATGTCAAGAACTCTTGAGATGGTACTTAAGAGTTCCAATTCCTAGCCCCAAGGAACATAAGAACAAAATAATGCAATCCAGCTATGGCCAGGAGCAAAGTCCAATGAGTCAGGAGACCCCTACCCTTCTCCAACTCTTTTTTTTTAAGTTCCATCATTCCCTTCCTCCATAATAGAAAAGGGAAGAGATCATGGCAGGTGCTGCAGATGTGGAGTGGAGTTCTGAATAGCAGAAGAGGCAGGAAGGGGGTTTTAGTGGCATGGGATAGGAGAATTAGAGCTGGCAGCTAAAGGTGAGCTGGTTGGCCCCTGAAGGGAGTTCTCACCCGTAGGTCCCCAGTTCCTGGGAAGTACTCTCCATATTTATGAAAGGACACAGTCATGACCCGGTCTGTGGTATAGAAGGCCTCTTCCACGCCATCGCCATGGTGAATATCAATGTCAATATACAGCACCCTCTGGTGATACCTAGGATCAGAAAGGGGTCAGGGGTCTGGGGGCTCTTTGGGGATGGGATGCGCCAAGCGCGCCAGGTCCCAGCTTACCGGGCTGGCTGCCTCCCTCAGGTATCTCTAAGCACCAGAGACGTGGAAACTGGCTGAAGGAAGGTGGAAGAGAGGCCGGGTGTCTCCAGAGGCCTGACCAAGCCGACCAAGTCCGATCTTCCTACTCTACAGCCAGGGTCAACTCCGGCCACACAGGGACACTCTGGAGGCAGGATCTGAGCAGCGCCTGCCCCTGATCTTGCCGTGGGCTCAGATCAAACCAAGACCCCGTCAAGGAGAAGATGGCCAGAGATACTCATTGAAAACATCCTAGCCAGCACACTGCTCAGAAAAGCAAACTAGGGAGGCAAGCCCAGGGGTAGAGGGAAGTGGGAACCTGGCCTAAGGTGCTCCTCCAAGAGACAAGGCCAAGCAGGCATACTTTAGCAGTTCCAGGATGGCCAAGACGATATCATTGACGTAACAGAAGCCAGATGCCTCGGACTTCTTTGCATGGTGCAGGCCCCCAGCCCAATTCACAGCGATGTCCGTCTGCTGCTTATTAAGTTTCACAGCACTTGCTGGGCGTGGGAAGAGACAACATAAGCCTGTTAGTCCTCTCTGCCCAAGAAGCCCAGGAAACCCAGTGAGAGGTAGGACCTGCCTATTCACTAGCTGTATTTATACAATTCACAGGATAGTCTACTTCCTCCCACCATATTCCAACAGGGAATAAACATGATACTGTCTACTCTAAAAAACTATTTTCCAAATTGAGGACAGTAACTCATTGGTTGACTTTAAAACTGATTTAGTGGAATTCTACTTAAAAGAAATAAAGCAGAATACAAACATTGGAGTAAACTGTTCTTTATAAACTTTGGTTTCAGACTAAGTGAATGTGTGTGTGCCTACACACATGTATATCTTGGATTGCATGTATAAGTTTACTTATTTATTTTTTTGAGACAGAATCTCGCTCTGTTGCCTTGGGTACAATTCAGTGGCATCTCACTGAAACCTCAAACTCCTAGGCTCAAGTGATCTTTCGGCTTCAGTCTCCCAAGTAGCTGGGACTCAGGTGCCCACTACAATGCCTGGATAATTTTTCTATTTTTAGTAGAGATAGGTCTTGCTCTTGCTTAGGCTGTTCTTGAACTCTCAAGTTCAAGCAATCCTCCCACCTTGGCCTGCATATTAAGATTATAGGTGTGAGCCACTACACCTGGCCATGTATAAGTTGACGCCTGGCTATTTTTTCTACTCAAGCTGTCACCCTGGGTAGAATGCTGTGACATCATAGCTCATAGCAACTTCAAACTCTTGGACTTAAGCAATTCTCTTGCCTCAGCCACCCAAGTAGCTGGGACTACAGGCGCCTGCCACAATGCCTGGCTATTTTGTGGTTGCAGTTTTCATTGTTGTTTGGCAGGCCTGGGCTGGATTCGAACTCGCCAGCTCTGGTGTATGTGGTTGGCACCCTAGCTGCTGAGCTACAGGTGCTGAGCCCATAGTCAAAAATTTTTGGAAAAATACCAAAGATAATGCTGGCTCAAATTACAAATAGGTTCAAGAAGAAATGAGAGAGAAAGCCTGGGTGCAGTGGCTCACATCTATAATCCTAGCACCCTGGGAGCCCGAGGCAGGTGGAATGCCTGAGCTCAGGAGTTCAAGACCACCTTAAGCAAGAGCAAGACTCTATCTCTAAAAAAAAATAGCCAAGAGTCAGGAGGTGCCTGTGGCTCAGTGAGTAAGGCGCCAGCCCCATATACAGAGGTTAGTAGATTCAAACCTGGCCCCAGCCAAACTGCAACAAAAAAATAGCCGGGCATTGTTGCAGACAACAGCAGCTACTTAGGAGGTTGAGGCAAGAGTATAGCCTAAGCCCAAGAGCTGGAGGTTGCTGTGAGCTGTGACGCCACAGCACTCTACCAAGGGTGACAAAGTGAGACTCTGTCTTAAGAAAAAAAAAAAAAAAAAGATTTAAAGTGATCCTAGAGGTAACCCCAAAGTTAAAAATGGAAGTAGGAGATATGTGGAGAATATTTTCGACCTCTAAAGGTAATTACCATACTGTTTCATAAGACACAGGTGATAACACTTCCATTTTTACAGAACTTTGCAGTTCACAAATTGTTTTTACATAGAGCATCTCAACAACCCCTTGAGGTCTATAGGGAATTCCTTGGTAAGAGAGGACAGTCAAGGACACTTGTCAGTACCATGTCAGAGACTGAACTGGACTGAGACTGAACCAGAAGGACATTTTAGAGATCTAAAGTAAAAACCCATAGGACTTTTCTACATGGTTACACATCAGCCTACTAAGTGGACTAAAAGGGAAACCTCATAGAACAGCCCACCACAGCCCTGGGAAGGGGATATATATTCCTTACCCACAGAGCCACCAGTAGACAACTGACAGAACTCAAACAGGCCATCAAATACTGGACAGTCCTCACCAACGTTGACTTGAAAGAAATAAGCAAAATATTAGTTTCCACTATTTCCTTTAATTTAGATGTGTATAAGCTGATGGAAAAAGCATAGAACTTAAATTCAGAAGGCTTGAGTTCTACTCTAGGCTCTAGTACTTTTTTTTTTTTTTT